GTGACGCTTTACCCGAATTTATTGTTTCGTCCGCTGATGGTGCAAATGGACCACTGAGCCCCTTTTTAAAAGAAGTAGTCGCTGCTTACAAATTCCTAGCCGCGAGGTTTTCCCTCGAATATCTGGGTACTGTTTCGCGAAAAAGATTGACGAAAGATTTGACCGAGTCGTCTCGTCCGCCTCCCATCTATCGCACGTTGTACTGTGCTCTACCCGGTAACGATGTACTTAGTCGAGTGAAAACAAAATGGTGGTCCCTGCGAACACAAAAACCTTTTTTTTTCCAACTTCATACCGGCACACTTCCCGTTAAAACGCGGCTTCATGAGAAGGGCGTGTTTGTGCCCTGGACCATAAATTGTTTCTTGTGCAAACAGCCTGAGACCATAGAACATGTCTTCCTGTATTGCTGGGATGCTGTCTTTTACTGGGATGTCTTGCAGTGGAACTCTTAAGAAAGAAAGATCTTCCATTAACCGCGCACGGAATACGCTTTCTACCGTTAGATAATGCGCATTGTGTGCCGTGCGATTTAATTATGCTTCTTGCACTGCACAGCATATGGAAGTGCCGCATGGCAGTGCGACATGCTGACTTGGACGTTCGACCAGTGTGCCAGTACTTTACACAAAGTATCAAGCAATTAAAGGAAACGTATAAGGCTCTAGGAAACGACCCCGATTGGCTGCCTGTCCTAGACGCACTATCTGAAATAAGATCCTGTTAATATTTCTGTGTCAGCCGAAACTCGGCTGAGGTGTCTCAGAACTTGTTCAGTGTCTCTTATCCTCTGTCCTTACAATAAATCTTACTGGCAATAAAGAAGAAAAAAAAAGTAGCGCGGCCGAGTGGTCTAAGGCGCTGGTTTTAGGCACCAGTCTCTTCGGAGGCCTTGGGTTCGAATCCCACGGCTGCCATTTTTTTTTTACTGTGAATTCGTTACGAATGTACTTTCACCGCAGCACCATATTTTTATACCACCCTCGTCGGTAGCGTGGCCGAGTGGTCTAAGGCGCTGGTTTTAGGCACCAGTCTCTTCGGAGGCGTGGGTTCGAATCCCATCGCTGCCATATGTTTTGCCTGTGAATTCGTTACGAATGTACTTTCACCGCAGCACCGTACTTTTATACCACCCTTGTCGGCAGCGTGGCCGAGTGGTCTAAGGATTCGACTTCCGGCTGCCGAGCGCAACGGACGTCTTATCATGAGCTCCGTCGGAGCGGCGATAACGGCTAGCACTAGCCGGGAATCAACTGTTCAGCCAGGAAACAACGCCCACCAGGAATACAGGATGCTTCTGCCCACGCTGCCAACAGGTCGGTCTTCTTTTAATGCTGTCATTTTGCACTGCGACCCGTCGGGGAGACCCTAAAAAATCGACGACTTCGCCGACGCACTGAAGTCAGCCATCAACCTCAAGGACATTGCCGGGTTTGGTGCTGTCCAATATAATCACGTCTGGATACTCACTCTGCACAACATGTTGGCGAAGGAAAAAATGGTGAAAGTGCGGCAACTCGTCATCAAGGGAAAAACGTGCGTCGTCATCGACCCCAACACCAGGGAGAAGACCTTCAAGGTACACTGGCTGCCTACGAACGTTCCGGATGAAGCAGTCGTGCAAGCGTTCACCAGTTACGGCAAAATGAAGAAAGCCGCAAGGGACAAATGGCGCCGACCTGGTTTTGAAGAAATAGAGACAACGACCAGAACCGTTACGATCGAACTGAAGGAAGGCAACACGGTGGATTCCATCCCCCACCAAGTCACCGTCATGGGAGGCCCTGCGTTGGTGTCAATTCCGGGTCGGCCACCATTGTGTCTCCGATGCCGGAAGGTTGGACATTTGCGGAAACAATGCCGGACGCCATGGTGCAAAGTGTGCCGCACGTTCGGGCACGAAGAGGACGACTGCGTCCAGAGCTACGCCTCCAGAACGAGAATGGCAGTTCAAGAGGACGAGTTCGAGCACTACATGGATCAGGGCGACATGGACGAGACGGGCATCTCTGGCGGCCCCGAGAGCTCGGGGACTCCGGGAGGTCAGGAGGCTTCAGTCAACGCATCCTCTGTGGCCACGCACCCACCTTCCCAACAGCAACCGGAGCAGCAGCTGGAGCGACAGGCTCCACTCCAGGACGACAGCACCACGCCTCACTCTGAACAAGCCGTCCTGCAAACGCAGCCGGAGCCCCAGGCTCCGGTACCGGTCGACGACAAGATGGAGCTCGGGGAGGCCTCAAGCAGCGAAACGAAAATCAAGCGCAAGGTGAAGGAAACCGTGCGAAACAACGCAGCCGACCAACGCTACACCATCGTGAGTGGCAAGCGATGGAAAAAAACGGACACTGTTCCATCTTCCCTTAAGCCGGTCGAAGTCGGAGCGTCGTTTCTTGACAACGCATCTGCCCTGAACACCACGTGATCCCAAACCAGGACTTCCCAGAAATACGTCAACCGGTAGGAAAAATTGTCTGATTTGTTTGCTAGCTCACACTCTAGGGAGGCTTATTGTGCACCCCGGGCAGGCGGGATGGGCTATCCCACAACTTAATCATGACAGTCGTTGGTACGCTTAATGTAGTAAGTCTCGTCGCTTCCATGCGGAAGCAATGGCTTTTAGATTTGTTGCTAGAAAAGCGGATCGATTTAGCCTGTGTCCAAGAAACTAAAATCGAAACAAGGGAGCAAGAAGAAAGCACGCGTGAATTTTTCAAGAGACATTATCAGGTTTTTGTTTCGCACTCGAGCGGAAAGAGCGGCGGATGCGCGGTGTTCGTTCGCAGGAAACATTTCTTGAGAGTATGCCCTGATATAGGACATGACGATTGCGGCAGAATCAGCTATGTCGACTGCAATTTAGCGAACACTTTGATAAGGGTGATATGCTTGTACGCGCCAAACAACATGAGCGAGCGGAAAAGTTTTTTTGAGCTGATTAACTCGGTAGTTGATACGCCAGCGAAGGTCATTCTAGCCGGGGATTTCAATTGTGTTGACAGTTCCGAAGATCGCTTTCCTAGGCGGGCGCAGGCAGTTAATAGTGTGAAAGTTCTGCGTTCGGTTTTAAAGGAAAACAATCTAATAGATGTAATTGAACTTGCGCGTCCTAACAACACGCAACGCTACACCCACTGGCAGGGTGATTCCAGCGCGCGCTTGGACAGAATTTATATATCGGACGAATTTGAATTCAAAGACGCCCGCTACGATGTTTCACCTGTTCCTTTCTCAGACCACGGCTTAGTAACTTTTGAGTGGAGGGCTGGCACAAGCCATCTTTCAACTCCGCATACTAGCGGACACTGGAAGCTAAACGAGAGCCTCCTTTAAGATGACGAGTTTTCAACCATCATAAAAGAAAAACTGCGGTTAGCAGCCGAAAACTCGGTTTTTGATGCTGTAAGCTGGGAGATTTTGAAGGTGGAAGTGAAAAGTGAAGCCATGTCATATGGGGAAAGAAAGGCCAGGGAAAGAAATTTAAAGAAAAAAGAACTGTTGCATAATTTAAAAACTCTCATTGCGGCAGACGACTCATCGCCTGGAAATTTTAGAGAAGACATAAAAGCCATAAAATGCGAGCTTTTGACTCTGATGAAAGAAAGGTACATGGGAGCTGTGGTGAGGAGCCGGGAAAAACTGGTCGAGCGAGACGAACAACCTTCAAAGCTTTTTCAGTTCTTTGAGAAGCAAAGAATCAAGTGCAACACTATCCGGCAGATAAGAGACGAAAACGGACAGAGCTTTTCCACGCAGGAGGAAATTGCAGACGTGTTTTACGAGGAATATGTTCGAACGTTTCAAAAGAAAGACGCCTGCGATGGCCGTCTTGCGGAAAGCATGCTACAGCAGCTTCAAAAGGAAGCAAGCGAAGAAGTACGCGAACGTACTAACACTGAAATTGTGGAAAGCGAAATTCGGTGGGCAATCCGGAAAATGCCGTCAAACAAGTCACCCGGGCCCGATGGCATAGGTTCGGCATTTTATAAGAAGTTTCTAGACCAGTTGACACCTCTCCTACAGAAAGTGTTCAAAGATATATTCAAAAGAAAGCTCTTACCACCCACCATGCGCCAGTCCCTTGTGGTGCTCATTCCCAAGCCGCATTCCGGCAATGACATACCTTCAGTAAACAATTTTAGGCCAATAAGTCTCTTGTGTACAGATTATAAAGTTTTGACGAGAATCTTAGCTCGAAGGCTGGAGAGAGGTATTGCGGAAGTGGTCGGAGATCACCAGACCTATGCGATCAAGTCACGGTCAATTACGCACAACCTCCACGCCATGCGAACAGTATGCGAAGCGGCAGAAGCGTTCAACACGCCCCTTGCGGTCCTTCAAATTGACCTGAGTCGTGCCTTCGACCGGGTGGACCATGAATTCTTGTTCAGAATCCTAAAACGCATCAACGTAGGCGACGTTCTTTCCGATTGGGTGCGCCTGTGCTACACCGACATATCCACCAAGATATTAGTAAATGGGAAAAAAACGGGAAAGATCAGTGTACAATCGTCTGTCAGGCAGGGGTGCCCGCTGTCCCCACTGCTCTTTGCGCTGTACTTGGAGCCACTGTGCAAGGCTATCAAAACAGATGAAGGAATTAGAGGGCTTCAACTGCCAACTAAAGAACTAAAAATTCTGGCATTCGCAGACGATGTTTCTATTATTTTTTCCGAAGAGAAGGAGCTTTTGAGGGCTTTGGACATAATTCGAGAGTTTTGTGCCGTGTCAGGAGCTCGTCTTAACCTAGCCAAATCTACAGGTACGTGGCTGGGTAACTGGGTCTGCAAGCCTTCAAGTGTGTTAGGGATGAAGTGGTCGTCCTCCCTGGAAAAGTACCTTGGCGTGCCGCTCACGTTGACGCCTCCTAGCCATGAAACGTGGTCGGTTAAACTCCAGAAGATGAGAGCGTCGCTGCTGCCATGGCGCACGAGACAAATCCATCTTATCCAGAGAAGCTTTTTGTGTAACACTGTTCCCTTTCCTAGTTTGATGTACGCAGCCCAGGCTATTCCAATCGACGCCAGCACGGTGTCAAAGGCCCATCGGCTCTTCGCAACATTTGTTTGGCAGTCGCCAATGGAGAAAACACGGCGCACAAATCTCTTTCTTAGCCTTCAGGCTGGGGGATTCGCCTTGGTGCACGTGGCCCTCAAAGTAAAAATAAGTCGGTTCCTTTTGTTTAGAGACTCGAGTGATGCGATCACGCGGTGTTCATTCCAGAGTCTTGGGAGTGCGCACCTTAGCCAGTGGGTGGTTGGCACATTGGAGCAACCGAAAGCAGCTAAGTGCCTCCGGTTCTACAAAGAAATTGCGGAAGCAATCAAATTCTTTGAATTGAGGTACTCGTGGGGATTTGGAGCCGGCACGCTTGGCGACATGCAGCTAACACTACTGTTGTTCACGCAGGTTCTTACGTCCCTCAGAACAACTGCTCCGCTCGGCGCGGTCACTAAAGGGGATGCTTTTCCGTACGTACCCGAACCTTCTACGACGGTTATCACCGGACTGCACGTGCCGCCGGGCATCGCCGAAGAGGATCTGCCAGTCATCACCGACTGCGACGGCTCCTTCGATAAGTCGATCGTCGTACTGGATTTGCCAATCTTCTTCGAGCAAGGGACACCACGTGTCTTCGTCGATGGCTATATAGGCGCACGGCACTTTGACTGCGTGGGATTTGGAGCCGGCACGCTTGGCGACATGCAGCTAACACTACTGTTGTTCACGCAGGTTCTTACGTCCCTCAGAGCAACTGCTCCGCTCGGCGCGGTCACTAAAGGGGATGCTTTTCCGTACGTACCCGAACCTTCTACGACGGTTATCACCGGACTGCACGTGCCGCCGGGCATCGCCGAAGAGGATCTGCCAGTCATCACCGACTGCGACGGCTCCTTCGATAAGTCGATCGTCGTACTGGATTTGCCAATCTTCTTCGAGCAAGGGACACCACGTGTCTTCGTCGATGGCTACATAAGCGCACGGCACTTTGACTGCGTGGGATTTGGAGCCGGCACGCTTGGCGACATGCAGCTAACACTACTGTTGTTCACGCAGGTTCTTACGTCCTTCAGAGCAACTGCTCCGCTCGGCGCGGTCACTAAAGGGGATGCTTTTCCATACGTACCCGAACCTTCTACGACGGTTATCACCGGACTGCACGTGCCGCCGGGCATCGCCGAAGAGGATCTGCCAGTCATCACCGACTGCGACGGCTCCTTCGATAAGTCGATCGTCGTACTGGATTTGCCAATCTTCTTCGAGCAAGGGACACCACGTGTCTTCGTCGATGGCTACATAAGCGCACGGCACTTTGACTGCGTGGGATTTGGAGCCGGCACGCTTGGCGACATGCAGCTAACACTACTGTTGTTCACGCAGGTTCTTACGTCCCTCAGAGCAACTGCTCCGCTCGGCGCGGTCACTAAAGGGGATGCTTTTCCGTACGTACCCGAACCTTCTACGACGGTTATCACCGGACTGCACGTGCCGCCGGGCATCGCCGAAGAGGATCTGCCAGTCATCACCGACTGCGACGGCTCCTTCGATAAGTCGATCGTCGTACTGGATTTGCCAATCTTCTTCGAGCAAGGGACACCACGTGTCTTCGTCGATGGCTATATAGGCGCACGGCACTTTGACTGCGTGGGATTTGGAGCCGGCACGCTTGGCGACATGCAGCTAACACTACTGTTGTTCACGCAGGTTCTTACGTCCCTCAGAGCAACTGCTCCGCTCGGCGCGGTCACTAAAGGGGATGCTTTTCCGTACGTACCCGAACCTTCTACGACGGTTATCACCGGACTGCACGTGCCGCCGGGCATCGCCGAAGAGGATCTGCCAGTCATCACCGACTGCGACGGCTCCTTCGATAAGTCGATCGTCGTACTGGATTTGCCAATCTTCTTCGAGCAAGGGACACCACGTGTCTTCGTCGATGGCTACATAAGCGCACGGCACTTTGACTGCGTGGGATTTGGAGCCGTCACGCTTGGCGACATGCAGCTAACACTACTGTTGTTCACGCAGGTTCTTACGTCCCTCAGAGCAACTGCTCCGCTCGGCGCGGTCACTAAAGGGGATGCTTTTCCGTACGTACCCGAACCTTCTACGACGGTTATCACCGGACTGCACGTGCCGCCGGGCATCGCCGAAGAGGATCTGCCAGTCATCACCGACTGCGACGGCTCCTTCGATAAGTCGATCGTCGTACTGGATTTGCCAATCTTCTTCGAGCAAGGGACACCACGTGTCTTCGTCGATGGCTACATAAGCGCACGGCACTTTGACTGCGTGGGATTTGGAGCCGGCACGCTTGGCGACATGCAGCTAACACTACTGTTGTTCACGCAGGTTCTTACGTCCCTCAGAGCAACTGCTCCGCTCGGCGCGGTCACTAAAGGGGATGCTTTTCCGTACGTACCCGAACCTTCTACGACGGTTATCACCGGACTGCACGTGCCGCCGGGCATCGCCGAAGAGGATCTGCCAGTCATCACCGACTGCGACGGCTCCTTCGATAAGTCGATCGTCGTACTGGATTTGCCAATCTTCTTCGAGCAAGGGACACCACGTGTCTTCGTCGATGGCTACATAAGCGCACGGCACTTTGACTGCGTGGGATTTGGAGCCGGCACGCTTGGCGACATGCAGCTAACACTACTGTTGTTCACGCAGGTTCTTACGTCCCTCAGAGCAACTGCTCCGCTCGGCGCGGTCACTAAAGGGGATGCTTTTCCGTACGTACCCGAACCTTCTACGACGGTTATCACCGGACTGCACGTGCCGCCGGGCATCGCCGAAGAGGATCTGCCAGTCATCACCGACTGCGACGGCTCCTTCGATAAGTCGATCGTCGTACTGGATTTGCCAATCTTCTTCGAGCAAGGGACACCACGTGTCTTCGTCGATGGCTACATAAGCGCACGGCACTTTGACTGCGTGGGATTTGGAGCCGGCACGCTTGGCGACATGCAGCTAACACTACTGTTGTTCACGCAGGTTCTTACGTCCCTCAGAGCAACTGCTCCGCTCGGCGCGGTCACTAAAGGGGATGCTTTTCCGTACGTACCCGAACCTTCTACGACGGTTATCACCGGACTGCACGTGCCGCCGGGCATCGCCGAAGAGGATCTGCCAGTCATCACCGACTGCGACGGCTCCTTCGATAAGTCGATCGTCGTACTGGATTTGCCAATCTTCTTCGAGCAAGGGACACCACGTGTCTTCGTCGATGGCTATATAGGCGCACGGCACTTTGACTGCGTGGGATTTGGAGCCGGCACGCTTGGCGACATGCAGCTAACACTACTGTTGTTCACGCAGGTTCTTACGTCCCTCAGAGCAACTGCTCCGCTCGGCGCGGTCACTAAAGGGGATGCTTTTCCGTACGTACCCGAACCTTCTACGACGGTTATCACCGGACTGCACGTGCCGCCGGGCATCGCCGAAGAGGATCTGCCAGTCATCACCGACTGCGACGGCTCCTTCGATAAGTCGATCGTCGTACTGGATTTGCCAATCTTCTTCGAGCAAGGGACACCACGTGTCTTCGTCGATGGCTACATAAGCGCACGGCACTTTGACTGCGTGGGATTTGGAGCCGTCACGCTTGGCGACATGCAGCTAACACTACTGTTGTTCACGCAGGTTCTTACGTCCCTCAGAGCAACTGCTCCGCTCGGCGCGGTCACTAAAGGGGATGCTTTTCCGTACGTACCCGAACCTTCTACGACGGTTATCACCGGACTGCACGTGCCGCCGGGCATCGCCGAAGAGGATCTGCCAGTCATCACCGACTGCGACGGCTCCTTCGATAAGTCGATCGTCGTACTGGATTTGCCAATCTTCTTCGAGCAAGGGACACCACGTGTCTTCGTCGATGGCTACATAAGCGCACGGCACTTTGACTGCGTGGGATTTGGAGCCGGCACGCTTGGCGACATGCAGCTAACACTACTGTTGTTCACGCAGGTTCTTACGTCCCTCAGAGCAACTGCTCCGCTCGGCGCGGTCACTAAAGGGGATGCTTTTCCGTACGTACCCGAACCTTCTACGACGGTTATCACCGGACTGCACGTGCCGCCGGGCATCGCCGAAGAGGATCTGCCAGTCATCACCGACTGCGACGGCTCCTTCGATAAGTCGATCGTCGTACTGGATTTGCCAATCTTCTTCGAGCAAGGGACACCACGTGTCTTCGTCGATGGCTACATAAGCGCACGGCACTTTGACTGCGTGGGATTTGGAGCCGGCACGCTTGGCGACATGCAGCTAACACTACTGTTGTTCACGCAGGTTCTTACGTCCCTCAGAGCAACTGCTCCGCTCGGCGCGGTCACTAAAGGGGATGCTTTTCCGTACGTACCCGAACCTTCTACGACGGTTATCACCGGACTGCACGTGCCGCCGGGCATCGCCGAAGAGGATCTGCCAGTCATCACCGACTGCGACGGCTCCTTCGATAAGTCGATCGTCGTACTGGATTTGCCAATCTTCTTCGAGCAAGGGACACCACGTGTCTTCGTCGATGGCTACATAAGCGCACGGCACTTTGACTGCGTGGGATTTGGAGCCGGCACGCTTGGCGACATGCAGCTAACACTACTGTTGTTCACGCAGGTTCTTACGTCCCTCAGAGCAACTGCTCCGCTCGGCGCGGTCACTAAAGGGGATGCTTTTCCGTACGTACCCGAACCTTCTACGACGGTTATCACCGGACTGCACGTGCCGCCGGGCATCGCCGAAGAGGATCTGCCAGTCATCACCGACTGCGACGGCTCCTTCGATAAGTCGATCGTCGTACTGGATTTGCCAATCTTCTTCGAGCAAGGGACACCACGTGTCTTCGTCGATGGCTACATAAGCGCACGGCACTTTGACTGCGTGGGATTTGGAGCCGGCACGCTTGGCGACATGCAGCTAACACTACTGTTGTTCACGCAGGTTAGTCCTTACAGTCCTATCTGTGTTCGAAAGTCCCTGTTTGCGTTGCCGGCTCCTCCCACGTCAAGTGCTGATACCTTCTGTGGCAGACGATTGAGACTGCGTATATCTCGCAAATATTTTCGCCTCTTTGCACATCGAGTACTTTACCTGTTTCTCTTGTTGCTACTTTCCGGGGATGTAGAACTTAACCCTGGCCCCCTTGACGCAGTAGAAATCGACCTTCTTAAAAGTTTGCAGAGCGGTCAGGCTTCCATTATGAGTAAGCTGGACGCTATCGACAGTAGGTTTAAGAAGCATGAAAACATGATCGAGGAAATAAATAAGAAGCTTGTTGGTACGGAGGGGAAAATCGGGGTCGTTAATCAATTAGTAACAGAACAAGCAAAGCTAATTGAGCTTTTGGCAAGACAAATTAACGAATTGGAAAACAGGAATGTTGATCTAGAAAACAGAAGTCGTAGGCAAAACCTTGTTTTCTATGGTGTGGATGACACGAATAACAAAGAAACATGGAATGAATCTGAAAATCTCATTAAAAGTATCTGTAAAGACAAGCTCGGTGTGGACCTAAAAACGGTGCAAAGGGCGCACCGTGTAGGTCGCTATAATGAGAACTTTAAACGACCAATCATCGTTAATTTTGCCTCCTACAAGGAAAAACAGGATATTCTGTCTAACGCCAAAAAGTTCAAGGGATCAAACTACAGTGTAGACCAAGATTACTCGCCGAAAACCCGTGAAATTCGAAAGAAACTTTGGGAATATGCTAAAACAAAAAAAGCGAATAGTGGCAACCGTGTAAAGCTAAACTTTGATAAGCTCATCGTAAATGATAAAGTGTTTACATGGGATACGGAAATAGAACAAGTTGTTCCTGTCAAAAAAGACTGACGCCCCACGAAAAAAGGAAAAAAAGAAAAGCGCGTTCATCGTGACCTAGTTGCTGTTGTAATAAACTGTAGAAGCATCGTAAATAAAGTTGACGAATTGGCAGGCTTAATCGACTCAGTAAAGGCTGATATCGTGTTCGGAACCGAATCATGGCTAGACGCTTCCATAAGTGATAGCGAAGTCTTTCCGAAAGGGTTTGTTTCTTATCGAAAAGATAGGTCACGCCTCGGCGGGGGCGTTTTCTTGTTGGTTCATTCATCGCTGAGATCATCCCCACTCGAACTTGGTCATGACGCTATTGAATCAATCTGGTGTACAGTCACGTTACCTGGTAGCTCTTCCTATGTTCTTGGATCGTATTACCGACCACCGAATTCGGATCTTAGTATAATCCGATCGCTATACGACATTGTTTCTGAGGCCTCAAACCAAATTATTCTCCTTGCGGGAGACTTTAATTTGCCTGACTTAGAGTGGAGGGATGGCACTTGTGTATGCACGATTGGTAGCCGAAATAATCTTGAAATGAAAAACATTGTGGATACGTTTGGGCTTCAGCAGTATGTGAGTGAACCAACAAGGAATAATCACATTTTAGACCTCTTGTTTTGTAGCTCTCCCTACCTTATTAACACCGTTAATATTATCCCTGGTATCAGTGACCATCACGCTGTTGTGGCAAATATCCAAACTGAAATCAAACGAGTAAATTCATGCGAATCGAGGAAAGTCTTTTTCTTTGAGAAGGGCAATTACTCTGGGTTTCCTGAAGAGCTTCTTGACCGCCTTCCCGTATTTGAGTGTCTTTCTGAGGAATATGATGTCCATAATTTATGGGATGTTTTCAAGAAAATGTTGCTTCAATTAACGGATAAATATGTTCCCTGCATAGATTCTAGAAAGCTAAACAAACGAAGAAAACCATGGGTAACTTCAAGTACTCTTAGGATAATTAAAAAGCGAAGGAGAGCATTTGATAGATATAAGAAGACCAAAAGTAGTAATCACCTTGAAAAACTGGCTGAGCTTACGCGTGAATATAAAAGGAGCATAGAGGGTGCTAAGGAACAATATCTTAATACACTCAATGACAGATTAAAAACCAACCCCAAGCTTTTCTGGAAGTATTTAAAGGGATGTGGATCGGATGCAGTAGGAATAAGTGAAATTACATATAATCAACAGACAGTTTCGGATGATACAGAAAAAGCAACGTGCTTCAATAATTACTTTCGGTCTGTCTTTTTGCCCAAACACAACTATGTTAATCCATCCACTGTTAGTACGGTGGAATTAATGCAGCCAGTTGAGCTTGGCATGAGTGGTATTGAGAAGGCGTTAAAGAACATAGATGAAACAAAAGCAACTGGACCGGATGGCATTTCTCCGCGTGTACTAAAGCGATGTGCTTACCCAATTTCGGTTTACCTTTATTTAATTTTTTCCAAGTCACTGGACACAGGACTTTTGCCAGATGACTGGAAGGTAGCTCATGTCGTCCCTATCCATAAGGGGGGGCCAAAAAAAGACGTCGTAAATTATAGGCCCATTTCATTAACTTCCGTCTCATGCAAAGTCATCGAACATATTTTATATTCAGAGGTAATCGGTCATATGATAAGAAACAACTTGCTGATTAATGAACAACATGGTTTTCGTAAGGGGTTTTCATGTACTACGCAACTTGTTGAATTTTATCATGACCTTGCATCTGATGTCGATGAGGGAGGGCAAATAGATTGTATATTCTTGGATTTTAGAAAAGCGTTTGACACGGTCTCACACTCACTTCTTCTCAACAAACTAAGAATGTTAAATCTAGACTCGGCTGTGCTTAGATGGATAGAAAATTACTTGTTCCAGCGTCGTCAATGTGTAGTACTGAATGGCAAGAAATCTGATTACGTTGATGTAACATCAGGAGTTCCACAGGGCTCTGTCCTGGGTCCACTTTTGTTTTTAATTTATATTAATGATATTTCTGTTGGAATTTCCTCTTGTATTCGACTTTTTGCTGATGATTGTGTAGTGTATAGAAAGATTGAGTTCAGATGATGTCGCCCAGTTGCAAGCAGACCTTGATCGTATTCAAAGTTGGTGCTCTACGTGGAAAATGAATTTAAATCACAAAAAGTGTGTTAACCTTTGTTTTACAAAGAAAAGGAAACAAATTGAATCTCAGTATTTTATAAATAATAACCCTATAACCAAGGAACTTACTTACAAATACTTGGGTGTCATATTGTCATCTGACTGTTCATGGAATGCCCACATAGAGGAAGTAGTCTTAAAAGCTGGCAGGGCAATGAATTTTATCCAACGTAACTTAAAATGCTCACAACCTAACTTAAAGACAACTGCTTATTTAACATGTGTTAGACCCATTTTAGAGTATGCATGTGCTGTCTGGGATCCAGCCCAAAAAACGTTGATAGATAAGCTGGAGAAAATACAAAACAGGGCGGCTAGGTTTGTTCTTGGACGATACGGGAGGAAAGAAAGTTGTACAGAAATTAAAAAAATGTTAAACTGGGAACCACTTTCCGTACGTCGGGAAAAACTGCGACTAAAATTTTTATACTCAATAGTTAAAAATAAAACGGGAATAAATAGCGAGACTTACTTAAAAGAACCCTATTATGTTTCTAGTCGTAATGATCATAGTCTTAAAATTAGAGAGTACCGCGCTAGGACATGCATGTTTGCAAACTCCTTTTTTGTACGAACAATTGCACAGTGGAATCGGCTGTCTGAAGAGCAAGTGTGCTGTTTCAATGAAGACGTGTTCTTTTCATCCTTGTAACCCCCCCTGCTGTAACGCCCTCGGGCACTGCGGGGTAATCATTGAATAAAGAATAAAGAATAAAGTATCTCCAGCAAGTTAAAAAGAAAAAACTCTATTGGGACACAGTCAGCAGCATGTTTCCAGCTCCTTTGTACAGAAATGGACTCGAATCATCAGCTGGAAAAGACGTCCTCAGGCGATTGCGCAGCCTCCCTGTTTCTCCCAAAACCAAAAACTTCTTCATTCGTTTTCACACAGAAACCCTGCCAGTGAAAACTTGGTTAGAAAACAAGGGCTTCTACCTTCCAATTGGAACAAACTGCGGTTTCTGTGGTGAGCGGGAAACGCTCCTTCATGTGTTTCTGGATTGTAAGGGCGCCTTCTGTTTCTGGGCGGATTTTCGCTATACTTTTGAATGCAACTTTGAGCCAAGCTGGGAATCGCTCAAGTTTTTGTACTTTGGTGAGGAACGGGGAGTGGAGTTTGAGTCGTTGGTTGCGATGGCCCTTCACGCGCTTTGGTTGTGCCGGACATTACATCTGGAGGCAGCGCCTGTGCGGAAAACCGCGTGGCAGTTGTTTCGGGAGAGAGCCCTGAGCGCAGTTAGCACAGTACCAGACGATGTCAACCACGCCTGGCTCCAGATAAAACAACAAATTAAAAAAAGCGTCGTTGCCCGCAACGCACAGCCGCCCGGGAAAGAAAGTATTTAGAAAGAGGGTGGAACCAAGTGTTCTGTTTGTTTGTTTTTTCTCTTTCTCGGCTCAAAACTTTTCGTCTATTCTTTTAGTAGTGTGCATGCCTAGTAGTGTATGCAATCACTGATCTGGCCACGTGGCCGGTATGTACCAAATGTATACTTCTATAATAATAATAAAAAAAAAAAAGAAAGTGTAGTGGTATCATGCAAGATTCCCATTCTTGCGACCCGGGTTCGATTCCCGGGCGACGCACACTTTTTGCACTTTGAAATTAATTTATAATAACGTGCGACGTGACGTGCGAAAGAGGTTTGAAATCTGTGAAGCGGCAAATGAACCAATGACAGTTGCTGCTGTATTAAATCCTTTAGCGATACGTCAAAAAAAAAGCCGAGTGGTCTAAGGCGCTGGTTTTAGGCACCAGTCTCTTCGGAGGCGTGGGTTCGAATCCCACCGCTGCCATATGTTTTGCCTGTGAATTCGTTGCGAATGTACTTTCACCGCAGCACCGTACTTTTACACCACCCTCGTCGGTAGCGTGGCCGAGTGGTCTTAGGCGCTGGTTTTAGGCACCAGTCTCTTCGGAGGCGTGGGTTCGAATCCCACCGCTGCCATATGTTTTGCCTGTAGATTCGTTACGAATGTACTTTCACCGCAGCACCGTACTTTTACACCACCCTCGTCGGTAGCGTGGCCGAGTGGTCTAAGGCGCTTGTTTTAGGCACCAGTCTCTTCGGAGGCGTGGGTTCGAATCCCACCGCTGCCATATATTTTGCCTGTGAATTCGTTGCGAATGTACTTTCACCGCAGCACCGTACTTTTATACCACCCTCGTCGGTAGCGTGGCCGGGTCGTCGAAAGCGCACGCGGAATCATGAGCTCCGTTGGAGCTGAGCAATCGTCCCTACTTGGACGCGTTGATAGGGCTTTGGATCTTTCTGCTGACTGTCGGTTTATTCTGCCGACGCTACCGTCGAATGACTCTTCGAAACGCACGGCATTTCTGCACGCTGACATCGGACTGCGGCCGTACCGCATTGAAGATTTCAGGGAACCTTTGCGGCAACTTGGCGTCCTGAGCGACGTGACCGGTATGGGGTGTTCCAGATGGGGCACGTTTGGATTGTCCGCCTCAAGTCGACTGCTGCCAAGGAGAACCTGATGATGTCTGGCAAGTTCAAGGTGAAAGGAGGTTGGTGTGTGCCGATGGACCCTGATCGACGAGAGGTCCGACTTAAGCTTCACTGGGTGCCTTTCGACGTGCCCAACGAAGCCCTGAAAAGGGCACTGGAAGAGTTTGGCGTGGTGAGAGAGATAATCCGAGAAAAATGGCACATCGACGGGTTTGACGGCGTCGAGTCGTCGACCCGGGTGGCGCGGCTGTCACTGAAGGAAGGCATGACGCTGGAAAGCCTGCCTCACCAGCTTCGGTTCACCGGCGGCCCTGTACTTGTGGTTGTTCCAGGACGTGCACCAATGTGCCTGCGGTGCAAACGGTCTGGACATATTCGCCGTGATTGTAGGGCGCCTCGCTGTAGTGAGTGCGGTACTTTTATAGAGTCTATAGAGTCACGAACGCCAAGACTGCGTTCGATCCTACGCTCGTGTCGCAGGAGGACGCCAGGCCGAGGAAGACACGAACGAGCTTGTGATGGACGAACAAGAGGCGGAACAGGCGGCGGCGCCCTAAACGCAAGCGTCTGTAGCGTCGGCGACTTCAAAGGCAACAGTAACCGCTAGCAAGGAGTGCGAAGGGAAACCTGACGGAGAAAAGGAGCCTTTTGTGGTCACAGAGCCAGCCGAGATGCCGACCGCGAAGCTCCAGGACACCACGGGGGATTTGGAGCACTCAGCCGGTTCGGATGCAGCTACAGTAGAGGAAGCAGCGGAGAAAACGGATACGTGTAAGGAAAAGGAAGTAGCACCGGAGAACAGCCCCAGCGAGGAAATGTCCCTGGACGCGATCACTTCGAAGCGGCGACTAGAGGACTTGGGCGCACGCAGTACTGCCGCCAGCGAGCAGGCACTGCGACGCCTGGAATATCAGTGGAAGCTCGCCGGGAAAAAAGGACGCTATACGACACGCAGCCGCTCGCCGTCGAGGGCTCGTGAAGACCGGCTGTCACAGTAAGCTGGTTCCCCGCTACCCCCCTGATTGGCAAGTGTCTGATAGCTGGCGCAAGGTCATAAGCTCCTAAGTTTTTAAAGCTATGAAACAGCTCGAGGTCGCACTGCGTATAGCTACCCTGAACGTAAGAGGACTGTCTGCAAGGCGAAGGCAGTGCCAGCTCAGAAGGTTGTTCTTGGAAAACGACCTCGACGTAATAGCGGTCCAGGAAACCAAGATTGAGAGCGAGGAGCAGACCGAGCAGATGGTGCGCCAATTTGAGTCGCGATACGATGTATGCGTAAGCCATGCGGTAGGGAGGTCGGGAGGTGTATGCATCTTTTTGAAAAATGCTTTAGGTATTATTGTTGAGAATGTTGCTTCGCGTGAAGATGGGAGAGTCGTGTATTGCGATATTTGCTTTTAAGATCAAAAGTTTCGTATAATCTGTATCTACGCATCGACTGTAGAGACGGAACGATGCCATTTTTTTTTAAGTATAGCGGAATATTTAAAGTGCGAACGACTGCTTGTGGTGGTGGGGGATTTTAACAGTACATGTGCTCCAGAAGACAGGACCCCTCATAGTCGCCGGAGGGATAGCAGTGGCGACGTCTGGAATGAACTGGTAAATGAGCATTACTTGGAGGACGTGGCACATTGCGGAAAGGGCACGAAGGGCGTGCAGTTCACACATTTCCAAGGAAGTAGCCACGCACGGCTAGACAGAGCATACGTGTCAGTTGAGCTAGATCCGCTGTGTGGACACTATAGTGTCGAGCAGGTGTGCTTTAGCGACCACTGCCTTGTGACTTTCGGGTTAAGATCAAAGAGAAAAGAACGACACCGATTTGATTCGCACAAAGCTGGAAAATGAATTACAAGCTCCTTGACGACGAGGTGTTTAACGACAAGATAAATGCAAGGATTGAAAATTTTAGGAACATCTGCGGGAGCGAGATGACCGGAGAATGGGAAGAATTTAAACGAGTAGTTAAAATGGACGCCATAGAAAGATCAACCATTCTAAAGTACGAGAAAGAGAAAGAGGAAAAGCAGCTGCGCTCAACTTTAAAGGAGCTTGTTCTAGAAGAGTGTAAATTTCCCGGGTTATTTATAGGTGACATTAATAAAATAAAAAGCAAGCTACAGCTCATAGGTACTGAGCACTACAGACGTGCGATAATACGTGCCCGGGCAGAAAAGTTTCTCGCGGGTGAAGCACCAACAAAACGAGCTCCGTTAGCCACAGAAAAGAGATACGCACGCGCCAATGAAATAACTGAAATTGATTATCAGGGTACCACGACGCGTGACTCTAACATAATTGAGGGAGCCTTTCTTGAATTCTACGAAAACTTACTGAGTCACAAAGCCCCAAAAGAAGAAGGTTTCACAGAAAATTTTTTGCCCCTTCTGCCAAAGATAGGTAGTGAAAAAAAAGAATGGTTAGAACAGCCGATAGGTGTGTCCGAAGTAGAAAGAGCCATTGATGATTTGCAAAGCGGAAAATCACCGGGCCCTGATGGCTTGGGTGCTACCTTTTATAGAAATTATAAAAAAGATTTAGCTTGTATTTTGTTACAAGTGTATCGCGAATGTTATGAAAACCAAGTTGTTCCGCCTTCCTTTTTATTTACCCACACAGTCCTTATCCCTAAAAGTGAAGACGCTAATAAACTTCGTAATGTAGCCAATTACCGGCCCATTACACCAGCTAATACGGACTATAAGATTCTAATGAAAATCCTTGCGAGTCTAATGCAATCGGTGATTGGAGATGTGGTGGGAGAACATCAAACGTGCGGTATCAAGGGACGTACGATTATGAGTAACATTCATGTTGCGCGTAGTGTGTTGGAACTATGTGGTGCTAATTTCCGGAAAGTTGCTCTGTTGCAAGTCGATCTTGGAAAAGCTTTTGACCGAGTGTCCCATGATGTTCTTTTTTGCATTCTAAACCATATTGGCGTGGGTAAAATTATTTTTGATGGAGTAAAGGTGGCCTATAGTAACTGCATGACTAGTCTTGTAATTAACAAACAAGTAACTAAACGCATTTCTGTGTTATCCTCTGTTCGGCAAGGGTACCCACTTTCGCCGTTGTTGTTCGCCATATTTCTTGAGCCCTACTGCCTAAGTGTCATAAAGAGTGGGAACATACGTGGTTTTTCTTTAAATGCATGTGATGTTAAAATATTAGCGTACGCAGATGATGTTGCGATTTTTCGTAGTGATAGAGAAAGCGTCTCAGCAACTGTTCAACTCACGAGATCATATTGCGCCCAAACAGCCTGTGCTGTGAACTGGGCGAAGTGCTTGGGGATCTGGCACGGCCAGTGGGACGTGACTCCGCGTGTGTTTGAATCTATTCAGTGGTCTACAGAGCCCGGTGTATACTTGGGAGTGCCTTTGAACAATTACCGTGAAAGCAACGAGCTCTGGCGTAACAAAACAGAGGAGATGAGTCTTAAAGCCGCGAAGTGGGGTGGCAAGGCATTTTCTATCTTCGCAC